AACATACATACATATGTACACGAATATGTGCGACCGCTTGACATTTTAACATGTTATCAAATCTTTTAAAGGTCTGCAAATAAATATGTATGAATGTATATAAATATATACATATCTTATCAAACCTACATTAATGAAATATTTGGTAACAACATAAACATGACTTTATTACATACACATTTGAAAAGGTTTTAAGGAATTCATCATGAAATAGTTCAATTTGTACGTACATGCTTGTGTGCTTTGATAAAATATAGAAAATATACATATGTATTTATATAAATTATATGCAGAGTCTTTAGATATGCGAATCCGTAAGCGTACATTCCTTAACATCGGAAATAGCATAGTTTTTCTCGTTTTACACTAAAAATGCTCAGTTCTGTTATTTTCCTGCCATTAATCTTAAATATTGAAGCACGCTCATCCAAAACAGTAATAGCAGGAACAGCCACAACCGCTACTCCCTTCCTTCCTGTGCCTTCCTTAGCGAGCTAAGTGTGTTAAAAGTTGCGCCCGTGGTAAAAACGCAGAAATCAGCCATCTTTTTTTCTTTTCGGTTGAACAATGTTGCCATAAGCATATATAGTTTTGAGCACATCTATGTTTTCAATTAAATAATTTTTTATATTATAAAATATCAAAACTGAAAACAAACTATCAAAAATAGTTTATATATTTATAAATACAGTCGAACTTCCATAACTCGAATCACTATTACCCAAAAAAAAAACTTACGGAGACTTCGAGTTATAGAAAAAAAATTAAAAAAAAAACTCAACTGCTACTTTAGAGTATATTAAATGATAAATATGTGTGTGTTTTTTTTTTAACACACATTACAGAAAACTGTAATAAGTTGTAGTGAAGTGAAATATTCAAAAATTAGTGACTGAAAATTTTCTTTTTTTTTTGGTATTTTCAGTAAAAAAATGACTAATTTGTTTAAAGCCGTATAGTGCTCGTCAGTTGTAGTGTCATTTGTTTGCAAATATAAACTCAATGTTCGGAAAGCATTTTCTACATCATTTCTGGAAGGCTGGTGAATAGTTTCTTCTACCGATCCCTCGCCGTCACTCTCCGTTCCGCTTAATATTGGATCATCTAATTCAGGGCAGTAATTCTCAACAATATCAGCATCTGTAGATAGCCAGTTGTGCAAAGGTCATTATCTACTGCAATATAATCCTGAAGAGTAGCACTGCAAGTTATTTTGTTTGCTTTTAACCATGCTTCGTAATCAACTTCAATTACATTTTGATATTCATCAGTAGTACTTAAACTCAGAGGTATGTCATCTTCCTCTTCCCATTCAGAATATTGAATAAATCCAGCTTTTTTGAAGCAATTCGCTATGGTTTTGCAATCCATAAGTGTAATATCTTGTTTTTCGTTTACCTTTATACGCTTTAGTGCTTCTTTTACTATTCTAGTACGATAAAAAACGTTCAAGTTTTGAATTACTTCCTGATCCAGCGGCTGTAATTTAGAGGTCATATTCGGTGGAAAAATGCCAGTTCAATGGATTTCAGTTTGCTATGTACGTCTTTTGGATGTGCTGGGCAATTATCAATAAACAATACAATTTTTCGGCCAGTACTTTGAAAGAGCTTATCCAAATTTAGAACCCATTCTTCAAAAATTTGGCCAGTCATCCAGGCCTTAGAGTTTGCTTTATAGTCTACGGGTAATCACTTAATACCACGAAAGCACCGCAGTTTGGCACTTTTTCCAATCAATAGAATTTTAAGTTTTTCCGATCCATCCATATTTGCTGCTAGCATCAACGTAACCCGTTGTTTGCTATTCTTGCCTCCGTGGCATTTTTGGTTTTTAAACGTCAATAAATTTATTGACAAACATCTGGCAAACATTTAAAAAACAACCCTGATTCATCCGCATTAAAAACATCCCGTTCACAGTACTTTTTTAATAAATTCGGCAAAACATCTTTTTTCCCACAGCATACCTAAAATAAAAATTGAAATTTTCGCCAATTGCACGTTTGGTTCCCTACCTCTGCTTCTATTTATCAAGCTGACCTGTGCTTTCCATAAAATGATCATCGCCAAAGCGCTTTGCAAACTCCTTTGCCTTCTCCTTTAATATTCCTCCAGATATAGGCATGTTTTGATGTCTAGCTGCTTTGAACCAATCGAGGGTTGCTTTATGGATGTTTTGTAATACTGGGGTTTTAATCCTTTTACTACCCAGATGAACCCCAGATTCAAACGACGTAATAATTGATTCTTTATTCTTAAAAATCATTGACACCGTACTGGCTATACCAAATTTTTCAGCTGCTTCCTTTTTCTTTAAGCCACCTTCTATTTCTTTCAATAGTTTATACTTTTCTTCAATCGACAAAGATTTCAAAGCACGTTTAGTTGCCATGATAATTAATAAATACGATCTTATTTCCCTGTATCATCAAGTACGACTGACATTTATGCACTGAACTGATACATACGAAAACAAAAATAAGCATTTGATGAACAAAGAGGGAATTCCCCGAATAAAAAGACGGTTCAAAAAAATAAGCAAATAAAAGAAAAATGTAGAGCGAAAGAGAGAAAGTACAATATTGCGAGTTGCAGAATGAGAGAAAAGCACATTACTTCGAGTTATAGAAGTCATAATTATGTATTTTCGTTCGAGTTATGGAGAACTTCGAGTTATGGAAGTTCGAGTTACGGAAGGAAATTTATATGTTAATTGCTCTCCTAATGCTACTGCCAACCCATAAAGAAGTTCGAGTTATGGAAGTTCGACTGTAACAGCATCCGACTCTGATTTTGAGTTATTTTAAGAAGATTTCAAACATATTGAACAGATTGAATTGTAAAAGTTGATAATTACTACTGTATATCGATATTGGCAACCCTGCGCTGTGAGAGAGCAATCAGCTGCCACGTTTCTACGGCAAAAATTCAAACGCCGTGGAAATATGCGGCATCCTACGGCAAAGAGAGAAGGGTGTAGCGTTTTTCGCTGTTCACTTATATTGCGCGCCCGTAAGATAGATCGTATCAGCTGACACGGGCCACGAGCCTACGTTTTTGTCTATTTGCGCTATAAATATCCCAAAATTGAAATATCCCTAAATTTTCGACATCGTGACCCTTCTTTATAAATGTACGTTCTCTGCTATTACTTTTATAAAATAATTTCGATGTTTCACATCTGCCAGCTGTCAACTGACAGCTCACTTTTTTTTCTACTTTCCATATTTTGCCGCCCCAGAAAATTTGCCGCCCTGGGCACTAGCCCCGACTGCTCCTAGTGTAAATCCACCACTGCGTGACGATAGCAATCCATTTTGTTTGCGCGAGAATACCTTTGTGCAAAATTTTCGATTAACTCGTGAAATTTGCCGTCGCCTAATTGATAAACTAACCCCACACCATTCAAAAACGTCACTGCCTTCTACTGTTAGGGTTCTAGCAGCTTTGAACTTCTTTGGACATGGCTCATACGAGAAATGTGTAGGTAACAACGTCAACTTGGCCATGAGTTAGTCGTCCCTTTCGAGAAGTGTGTGGGCTGTAGCAAAAGTTATTGTGAAGGTGAAGGAAGAAACTTTTATAAAAACGGGCAAGTGTTAATAACACACTAATTTAAGCAAATTTATTTGAAATATATTCCAGATTTTATTAGAAAATTTGGAATAAAAAGCACCATAGGAGCAAGTGACTGCACGCATATTGCTCTATCAATATAATTTGAATAGAAATCAGCTGTTTCTATTTGCATTATTTTGTTCACCACACGTGTGGGGAAAAGCTTTGCGATTGAAGCTTTTCTTCTTATCGAGATTGTCACCGAATACCAAAATATTTCTTGCTTGATAAATATTTGAGTTAATTTCAATATTTTATTAATTTGTAAACTGAACAGAATAGGGGTGATAATATTTATGTTGAATTGCTGCACGATATTCGTAGAAGCGACGATTTCTTATAAGTCTACTAACTGCATCTTTAAGCCTTTTCCTATTAACCTAGCCAGTGAATCTGTTACTATTGGTGTCAGATTTGAGTTTAGTTGCTTGAAGATTTCTGCAACAGGCCCCATGAGGCTTGGTCGCAATTTTACAATGACTGCCAAGGCAAATTATACGATTTAGCAAGGAAATATGTGAGGCTGCATTCTTCCAATTTTTCCGTTTTTCTGTAAAGATTCTAATTTTATAAAATTTAATAAAATATCAGAAACTTACGTGCGATCCTTGGAATAGGTGGAATCGGACTTTATTCGCGCCTAATTCTGAAGTTATAAGAATAAAAATCTTCTACAATACTTTTTTTTTCAATTTGGAACTATTAATTATTCGTTTTTTTTTTTTTAAATGTACATAAGGTTTCTTAGTTACTGATATACATACATTCCAAAGTGAAAGGAATAAAATTATAATTTAGAAATATTCTCCAACTTGTTCTCTCTGACTTGTTCTACTGACTGCACTGAATTTTTTTTAAGCGTATAGCGCGAGAAAAAGCGGCATGCGGGATCAAAGAACCTCAGTGCGCTGTTGTTGTAGATTAAAAATTTATTGCAAAAGTAGTTTTTAACGGCGTTGTAAATTTCTCTATAACAAAAAGTGACTAAGAATACTTCGAAAGTGAAAAAAAATTCTTTTCTTCTTGAAATTTTGAAAATTCATAACTCCAAAATTTTTCATATTGAGTCAATAAAACAATAAGTGTCTAATATCTTGTCTTAAGGAACTCAAATGAAAAATTTTGCACGAAAAATTTAAATTTTGGCTGGAATAACCCATATATACTTTAACTATATTTCTAAATGTGTTGTCATCAACTGATGGGTGCACAAACTTTTTATCACGATACAAAATTTTGCTAGATTATAAAAATGTAGATAGACAAGAATTCAATGTAATAAGAATTTTGCATAAAAAGATTTCTCTGACTAAAATTAAAGCAATTCCAATGTTTCAATACGTTATGCAACCAGTAATTTTTATTATTAATGCTGTCTAGGCGAAATATTTTTGATGCGGCCACTGGAGGAAATCGCAGCTATCACTCACGTTGGAGATCCTGTTTTACTCACCGTGATTGCTGAAGAAGTTAAAGTTGGACGTGATGAGCCCCCCGCTATGGCTTCAACAGTACAATTGGCTTTGTTTTTACCAGAACGGACAAATTCTGCACCTTATTTCGAGAATGATCAGTTAGTATATACAGCATTTAGTCTAAACACAAAATTTAAACACATATAGTATTTGTAACAAACATGCAACTTATTTAAAGTTTTTCGCCAAGTATATTAATAGTATAAAATGGAAAGTTTTACCAACTGCAATATGAGGCGTTTATTTATTTTTGTCAGTTAGGTTAGGCTTTTTTGTAAATATTGTAGACCTTAACGAACTCATATTAAAATAATACTTCTTAAACAGTGTGCAATATATAATAGGGCAATTCAGAATCTGATGCAAATAATCTTGCATCTTTGCAATTACACTTACACAATGTATAGCACCTACACCACCCTTGCAAATAAGCGACACTAAAACGCCATTGTATTATTTGCAACACTGGTTTGCAAATTATCAGCTGCTGTCAAAAATAAAAACATTGTAAACAAAGAGAAGAAATGGATCAAACCGGTTTGAATAAAATAAGGCTAAAACACGAAAAGCCGAATAAAAAGTGGAGCGAAAAAGAAATCCAGACTATACGTTTTGGATTTCTTGCAGGAAGCTCCAGAAGTAAAAGTGAAATTTGTGCTATGTGCCGCATAAAAATATTTCTTACCTTCAAATATCCATAATTTCTTCAGCAGCTTCATCAAATAAAGCGTCAGTTAATTTTTCCCAACAACTTCTTTTGGCATATTTTTCAATTTGTGCGAAAATTTTGTTACAAAAAATGTTTTTCTTTACCGATCAGCTGTGAATTAATAGTCTTTGCAAGGGTTGCACAGAAACTATAAAAAAGACGTTCATTGGTGATGGTAAATATTTGCAAGTGCAAAATTTACAAACTCAGATGCACAAAGTCTGAATTGCCCTAATATATGTACATATTATGTTAACTTATTACTATAAATGGGGACAATCGGCGCACTATTTAACAGAAAGTACATATGTATGTATATCTATTATCTAGTTATGCTCTGAAACTATAAGAAAACAAAACGAATTGGTGGCAGTGTAAAATGCACCACATCTAGATGTGTATAATTATGCTCTGAAACTATAAGAAAACAAAACGAATTGGTGGCAGTGTAAAATGCACAACCGCACACATACAGATATCCTAATAAAAAATTTAATAGGCACTTAAGTTTCTTTTCTTTTACGTTTAATTTTTCAGCTACGTTTCAAGAATTGATGAAAATGCCCCGCAAGGTACTGCCCTTTCATTTGCCGACCCATATGTTTCACGTGTTTATGACGATGATATCGGTAAAAATGGAGTGTTTTCATTGACTTTACTCAATAATAACGGAACATTTGAAATTTCCCCGAATGTTGCTGAACGGAGCACTTCATTTCTCATACGCGTACGAGATAATATTCTCTTAGACTATGAAGAACGTCATTCTGTGCAATTTCAAATATTAGCCCAAGAATTAGGACCATCTACAAATCTTTCAACTACTGTCAACGTCAATGTATATATAAAGGATGTTAACGATAACCCACCCATATTTGACCAAYCTATGTACACTGTTGAGCTGCCAGAAAATATGACTGCCGGAACAAAAGTTATCCAAGTTAAAGCCACCGATATAGACACGGCTGATTTAAGTGGACGTGTACGATACACAGCTATTTTGGGCTATTTAAACACGTCATTAAATTTAAACGCGGACTCAGGACTTATTACAGTTTCCACTAATAAACACGGGTTTGATCGTGAAGTAATGCCCGAATATCATTTATACGTAGAAGCACGAGACAATGATGGTACAGGTAATCGTGCCCAAGTGCCATTGATTATAAGAATAATAGATATCAATGATGAAACTCCAATTTTCGAAAAAGAGTTTTACGAATTTATACTCTCTCCAGACTTGAAATCCTTCACCTCTGTAGCCATTATTCACGCCATAGATAAGGATGCAACACCACCTAACAACGAAGTGCGATATGAAATAGTTAATGGAAACTACGAAAATCAATTCACTTTGGACAAATTAACTGGCGAGCTAACTGTGCGAGAGAGAATTACATTTCCAATCAGAGCACGAAGAAAGCGCCAAATATTATCTCACATTGATCAAGATATGTTGTTTCTAACAGCGCGAGCATATGATTTAGGAGTACCTGTACGTTTTAGCATCACAAACATTCGTATATATCCACCAGAAAGTCGGACACGAACTGTAACTTTTGTAGTTCCAGATGAAAGTCCTAATAAAGTTAAAACAGAAGAAACACTTTCTACCATAACAGGAGGAAAAGTAATAATACATGATATTAGACCTTTACAACCAGACGAACCCGGTGCCAAAACAATTACCGGGGACAACACGGATACGATAAGAAGAAGTGTCGTAACAGCCACCGTTCTTTATGATAGTAATTCGGTCGTAGATATATCACAGATACAGCAACGCTTATCGCAACACAACAGTTCATATGCGTTAATGAATGATAGTGACCCAGTAGCGACAGACGTATGTATTCGAAWTATTTGAAAAACATTTTAATTTAATAAATTCAAATAGGTTATTACACCTTTACAGACTCTATACAAAGCCGAAAATAAATTGCTGTTCTGGCTGCTTATATTTTTAGCAACTTTAGTCGCGTTAACAATTCTCATAATTTTGCTATGTTGCATTTGTTCGTGGTGCCCATTATATGGAGCTGCAAGGTAAGTAATAAATTTACATACACTCACTCGTATATATACTGGTATGAGTTCATATATGTATGTATGTATACAGCTTGTATTATCTATCCCAAAACTCACAATTTAGTTATGTAAATTAAACATATGAATAAATTTTTATTTGGCTTAATACCATATATCAAGAAGCTAGAGTAAACACGCTTTTTAAAGTAACWACATACTACCAAATATATTAAGGGTACTATTTAATGTGACATTTGTATAATAGGGTGGCATTATTGCAATAAGTCAGCTGTTCTTCATTTATCCGTGATCGTTTTCCTATAAATACAAATAAAAAGGTACAAGAACTTGATTCCAATCGTTCGCTTTGTATAGCTGCTATATTCTATGGTGATCCGATTTAAACAATTTCTCCTCCATCCATGTCAAATTTCGTTAAGAAATGTAGTCTTATGAAAGTTTCGATTGCATGGCAGCTATTGGCGTATACACAGACAGATATGGCTAAATCGACTCAGCTTGTCATGCTGACCATTTATAATATATTAGAAACTTCGTGACAAGCTTAATATATCCCTTTCAAAGTATAACAATATAAGCGAATACACAAATAAAATTTAAGTAAGTAAGATTTTCTACATTGTTGTCAAGAAGGCCTCTAAGTTTGTTTGCGTTCTGTTATTAGTTGTTGATAAGTGGATGAAGCATTTATAACACCCCTTGATCCGATAATTTTCAATAAATTAGTCCATAATAACAGTTATTGTGGCAAAACTCCTTTTTACAAACACCATCATCGTAGAAGCCGCTACAATCAATTTTTTTTCATTACAAAGGCTACCTCCTGTGGTTTGAAACATTTCCTTAACGTCTTTACCTCAACTAAATCGGTTTATTTTGCTAACTACTAGCTGCTACGAGTATTTCATCCATATCGACAAAGTATCCAATACCTTCACTCTGACTTAAATCTGAAGTTCTTCTTTAAGTTTTCTCATTCCAAGAAGAGTTTTTTTTTTTCTACAGCATCCATGATAATGCTTTAATGTTCGCCGCATGTAATATGCTTTAAAATTATATTTAACTCCTTGATCCATTGATTGATTAATGTATGTATAGTACGAGTATAAGCGCGAAATCGATGAACTTCCGGATAGGTGTCAAAAAATCCAAAAAATCAATTTTCACTTTTTAGTTGATTCGGATGGAAGATGAGATTTTTAACAGCTGTTTCCCAGAAGACTAGTTTTCGCACGTTAGCTCCCTTTTCGTAGACCAGGTCACATATATAGTTAAAAGACCAAAAAACAAACGAAATTTCCACAATTTCTTTTAGCAGTATTTTAAGACTTATTATTGTAAAAACATTTATTTGAAAAGGAACTACAGCTAATCTCCGGGAGCTCCTCTTAAACAAGACGTATTGAGTTGGCCACTATATCTCTGCACGGAAATCAAAAAACAAACAGATTTCATTGAAGTAATGTTAAATATAGTAATAATTAATAATTAATAAAATCGATTTTTGATTAAAATTTCAAACTTAAATTTTTTAAAAAAATACTTATTGACAAAAAAATTCATACTAATTACTGAAAAATATATTAAGAAGTCCCTGTTAAAATTTGAAACCAATCGGCTTAGCTGTTTTCGAGTAATTTTGGTCACCGATTTTGAAAAAGGAGGATGGAGTCATGTGTAGAAGTTCACGCAAGTGAGGAAAGTTTTCTGATCGCCATTCAGTTGGGAGTGGCCAGAAATGATTATTTTACATATGACTCAAGCAGCTCACGACTTCCGGTCCTTGACCAAGTATCCTCTGGGTAGCCTAAGAACATCCGTTTGAAGGCGAGCTAAAGTGAGAAGGCGAAACATTCCCTGCATTGTGCGCTGGGTATGGGACCCGCCACGTAAAAAACCACCCCAGTGACAACGCAACAACAGCCTCGGATGAGAGACCCCACTTTTGATGACGACCATGGCAAACGAAATAAGGACTACGAATTGAGGGCATGCACCTGGAATATCCGGTCCCTTAATTGGGAAGGTGCCGCTGCTCAGCTGGTTGCTGTCCTCGTAAAAATAAAGGCTGACATCACCGCCGTCCAGGAAATAAGATGGACGAGACGAGTAGGTCCTTGTGGCATTTACTACAGTGGCCATATAAAGGAGCGCAAGTTTGGTGTGGGATTCGTGGTGGCAGAGAGACTCCGTCGCAGAGTACTACCATTAACCCCGGTGAATGAACGTCTAGCCACAATCCGCATCAAACCGAGGTTCTTAAAYATATCGCTGATTTGCGCCCACGCCTCGACGGAAGAGAAGGACGATGTGACCAAAGATGCCTTTTATGAGTGCTTGGAAAGCACTTGTGAGAGCTGCCTCCGCCACGATGTCAAAATCGTGCTTGGCGACTTTAATGCCAGCGTGGGCAAAGAATTTATCTTTGGCACTACGGTCGGTAAATTCAGCCTCCACGAGGAAACATCCCCAAATGGGTTGAGGCTGATCGACTTCGCCGGGGCCCGAAATATGGTTAT